AGTCGCTGTGTCTTCAGGGATAAATGGCAATGTTGGTTTGTCGTCTGTTGGTCAGTCAGTCCACCAATTTGATCCAGACTGAAATATCTCAACAATTATCATTATAGATTATCATTAAACTCTGTACACACATTCTTCATCCCCAGTGGATGAATCCGACAAATGTTTGTGATCCTCTGATTTTTCATCTCAACAAATATTGGATGGAAATTGTGATAACTTTGTTGATTTCCTTGACCACTGGCATTTTTAAAATCCAATACAGTATTTTTGTGACCAAACTAGTCACATTCCCACCATTCACCAGTGCTAATCAGCTAAAGTTAGCATGCTAACAAGTGAAACTATAGAAAAATCTACTCGAGGGATTGCCATGAAATGTGCAATAGACATTCATGGTTCCCTGGCTTTTCTGCTAGCAGCATTGACTGAAATATCTCAGCCATAGATTATAAATTAGACTATCATCAAACTCTGTTTAGGCATTCATCATCCCCAGAGGATGAATCCTACTGACTTTGGTGATCTCCTGATTTTCCATCTAGTGCCACCAATAGGTTGACATTTTAGGTTTAGACTGAAAGATCTCAATAACTATTGGATGGAAATTTTGATAACTAGATGATGAACATGTTAAACATCAGCATGTTAGTCTTGTCATTGTGAGCATATTAGCATTTTGCTCAAAGCACTACTGTGTCAAGTACAAGCTCACAGAGCGGCTAGCATGGCTGAAGGCTCTTACTCTTATTAAACAGTTAATAATTAAATAACCAGGCATTTCAATATCCACTGTGATTTTTTTTCCCTGTTTCTTGGTGAAGTGGTTCTCTTCTCACGATAAAAGATGCTTGTCAAAAACACTGATTGATAGTTATTAAAAGTAACGTTTCTACATGTTCAGCTGCCGCAGGGAGCCAAAGCCCACAGGAAAGGAATACATTTAATTATTCCCCCCTCAGTTAAACGAGACAAAACCTTCCCACCGCAATCCACTTGCCTCTCTACATTGTGCTCCCTCTTTCTCCTTACCCTCCCGTCTGGCCTTTACCCTGTCTCATGCTCTGTCAACATCATCTGCCACTGTGGAGCAGACGGGCTCAAAAGCAGACCTTTTTTACTTTCCTGCAGGTGGCTGATGTGACTGAGGCAAGAGGCAGCAACAATCCCACTTCACTCACTTCCCTCCACCACCACCAGCACCAGCACCTTATTTCCTGTACAGCACAAACTCCCTCTCTCTGCCAAGACTGCATTCCTGTGAACCAAAGTAGAACATTTTTTCATCTAAAAAGGTATCTTGGTGTAACCCTCCTATTTAACCTTTGTTAGCAGTGTATAAATAATTAATGAGTAGTTAAGAACACACTATACAATAACACAGTGTAATGGTGTCCTAAGTGTTGTTTGTGATCTTTCACTGTCATGAGGTTAAATATTTAAAAATGCACTTAAAGGACCAGTGTGTAAGATTTAGTGGCAGTAGTGGTCAAGTGTTTCCAATTGCGCTGTTCAGGTATAAATAGGTATACATTACATGAATTTAGATGATGCTTTCAGAAAGTCTTTGGTTGGAAATGCAGAAGTCTGCTAATTATCCAGAGCGACTTCTAATAAATGCAAAAGGCCAAATCTGGAGCCAGCGTTTGGTTTGTCCGTTCTGGGCTGTACAGAACCGTCAAACTTAAAGAAATCTAGTAAGTGGAACTTCATGTCTTTATGACAGAAGGCGAATCGTTGCTCGTTTCCTTTTGGCACCTACGTTAACCAACTGGGCTTTCATACAGGAAGTGAAGCAAAGCAATGTGGCGTGGACCTCCGCCGCCAGCTCACAATCTGTGTCTGGTCTATTTTCTCCGTAACTGAATCTGGCAAGAAAAGACACTGATAATCTTTCATAACCGATGTACATATTATACGGTAAATAAATGATTTGATTCTGATAAATGATCAAATATGCATACAACCCTTTTGATCTTCCTGTCCATGTCCCGTTTGTTCTCTTGGAGTTTCAATTCCCCAGTTTTTTCCCCACAAAGGCACTGCATGATCAACTTACAAAAGCTGCCCATCCACTATGATTATTTGAAATATATCACTGCTGTTTGTTATGATAAAGATCAACCCTGCGTGTGACTAGAAAAGAGCAGAGGAGCACGATTGCTTGTTGGCCAGTGCAGAGAAAATCACCTCTGGTGTGAACAGCCAGGCGTTTCCGCCCTCTCTCTGAACCCAGCGTTACAGCTACATTTATATTGCTATAAACTATTTATTTAATGTTAAATAGAGTGGTTACATAATTTTAAATATCAAGTTTGACTAAAACTCTTAAAATTGACTTAATTATACTTTATATTTACAGTAGAGTTTATAATGCTTGTAAAAAAAAAGTGTAGTTGTGCAATTGTTGATTTATATTTCTGATTTTATTTCTGGTGAAAAGGAAAGCTGAAATATTTTGAGTTTATAAATATTGTTGGGGGTTTCTTTCACATCCACTTGCTTTGTTTTAAGGTGCATTCAGTCTTTTCCAGTGGTAGTAAGTAACTAAGTACATTTACTCAGATACTTTGCATTTTGTGCTTATACTTATGATTCTAATACATTTATTTCACATCTACAGTCATTACCTTCCAGATAAAGATTTTACAAGTGGCTTATGAGTGGTTTATAAAATATGATGCATTGTTATATATTCAACTACCTCAATGTACATGAAGCAGGTAAATAGATCCCTTCAACCAAGTACTGCTCATTTATTGATGCATCAGTAATAACAACCCAATAATATAATACTGACAGGCTCCATTCTGCACAATGATAACTTTTAACTTTAACTCTACTTGCATTTTTTGTCAAATTTTGAATGTTGGACTTTTACTTGGAATTGTATATTTTTATAATGTAGTGCTGGAACTTACTTGAATACAAGATTTTAAAAAATTTCCCTACATAAAGTTAAACATAATGTGACAACACCCTGGTTGGTATGTTAATATACCCAAAATAAAATATCAGAGTTTTTTTTAGGCTAATATGAGCATCTTAAATCAGAATTCCTGCCAACTTAAAGAAAAAACTAATAATCACAGCTCTTGGGGCTGCAGACAAATTAAATGAGCAGTTTTTTAATTTCTGAGCTCCTTGCTGTGTGGGAACATTCAGCAATGGCTCAGCATGTCAAACCATGTCAAGTGTTACAGTTCCCTTCCTGTTTCGAGGGGAAAAAAATATCACCAGAGATGAATTAAACTAAAAAGGCTTGTCTTCAGACCCCTTCCTAAAATGATTAACCCTTCTAGAGAGCATTATTGAGCTCTGAGTGGTTGTGCTTTCTTATTGCCTGTAATTGTTCTTTTTCTGTTGTTGCCTTCATCAGTCTCTCTCCTCATTATATGAAAAGAAGGGAAAAATGTCTGAATAGAGGAGGGAGATTTTCCCACAGTCACTCAACTCAGAAAAATACGCCATTGTCGCCAGGTTCCCATCCCAATGCCCTGCTGCACAGTCTGCCGGAGTCTGAGGGACAATGTTCCTATAATTGAGTGACCATTCTTTCTCCTGTTTGAAAAGTAAGTGATGGAGAATACAGTTAAATGTGGCTACAAATCTCACTTTTGATTTGGTCCAGTCTGCAGGTATGTCCGACCCTTTCTTATTTGACTGCAGATACATAACTCCGAGTCAAAACCTTGTGCAATACAAGGTACTTTAGTTATTTAAGTTGTATTCTAGGCTTATTATGCGGCTAATGGTGCTACACATAATTATGCTCATTTGAGTGAGTACAGCCAGAAGATCATTTTCTTCTTTGAGCATCATTCATCTTGTAATTCATAAATTATTAGAAGGCTTTTCTGATCTATAGTATGAGCCATGTGTATTATTGTGTGGAATTTGTGCACCACTGAGCCTTAACTGAATGAGAACAAAGTGAAATTGTATTCTCCCTTAATAATATCAAAATTACATGCGGCATCTACAGCTGTAAAGCAAGGCAAAGCCAATTTTATTTATAGAGCTCAATTCATACAAGGGGCAGTTTCAAAGTGCTTTACACACATTTAAAGGTTATAAAAGCGAATTTTAAAAGAGTGACAGAGGCAACCCAGATATAAAGATGTAAAATAAGGACATAGAAACAAAGGGGAAATCTAATAAAAACAAAATTAAAGTGACTTTAGAAAGCAACAAAGAATAAGATTACCTTTTAGACATACCTTTAATCCTCTGGTGATTTGTTCCATGGTTACAAAACATATGATTAGTTTATAAAATATTATGATTTGTTATTAATTAAATTACCTAAGAGTATATAAAGTTGTTAGAAATAACACTAGGTGTAACACTGTAATGCTGTTTACACATTAATACATTAGTAATAGTAATAATTCAATAATATAAAAGGCCTACAGGTCATACTGTATCTCTTCTGCATAGGAGTGCTTTATGTTTAAAGCTCAATTTAGTTTTCAGGCACACAATAAAGCAGCCATCTATAGCAACATTTAAATAATTATAAAACATTTCATAGCAAATAAATCGAAATGAAGATACTGGAAATAAGCATATAACACTTGTACCAGCCTGTGTTAAAAAGACAAAAGGAGAAAATGGAATAAAATATTACGACCCGCACCAAATAGGGCCAAATAAAGTGGAATTAAATTATTATTAAATATTCTTTTCCCTAAAAACTATAAACCTACAGATGTAAACATACTCTACTCTTATATTCTGAACAACTACCCACACAGTGACTGGTGTGTGTGTGTGTGTGTGTGTGTGTGTGTGTGTGTGTGTGTGTGTGTGTGTGTGTGAGAGAGTGTGTGTGTGTGTGTGTGTGTGTGTGAGAGAGAGTGTGTGTGTGTGTGTGTGTGTGTGTGTGTGTGTGTGTGTGTGTGTGTGTGTGTGTGTGTGTGTGTGTGTGAGAGAGAGTGTGTGTGTGTGTGTGTGCGCGCGCAGCCTCGCTCTCGTCTCCTGCGCACACGCTGCCTCACTCCGACCAATCAGCGCGCAGGGGGTTGTGTGCAGGCGTTGAACTGCAATGGCGGAGACAATGAAGCTGAGTGGAAATCACGCTCCTCCTAACGGGTCCAGGGAAATGTCCAGCTACAGGGACTGCGTGTGTGTGATACTGCAGCTGCTGGCAGACTTCGGGAAAGAGGTTGGTTGACGTTGTTTGAGCCGCGTGAACCCGGAGTCGCGTTGCTTTTAGCCCGTGTTGTTAGTTAGCTACATGCTAATGTTTTTAGCATCCTCCCTCCCCCCCCGGTGTAGCCTGGCTGCTTTTATGCCTCTCACTTTTTCTTTTTTAAGTCCTTGTTACTCAACATTCAGGCGGTGTGTTTGACAAGCGAGTTGCAGCAAAGTAACGTGGGTTTGTGTTATTTACTGTGAACCAGCTCCCAGCTGTGTACAAGTTCAGATATGGCTAAAACTAGCCACTCATCAATTTAAGTTATTTAATCTCATTTCAGCTTTATTGCCATTATTACCCCGGACACAGCCTTTTTTCTAGCTCTTCCCTGCAACCTGTAATTAACCTATGAACTGTATAATTCATGTTTACATATTACCGTGTTGTTGCGTTGTTCCGTACATATCTGATCTCTATACAGTTTATAATTACTGCCCGTTGTCTTGTAAAGGAAGAATAAATACACAATGTATAAAAAACATAATTTGTATGTGTACACTACACCTCTACAGTGTTAAAGTGCATACATTTATTTGCAAAGAGCTTTATCTTAAGCATTAGTACATCATCTTAGTGGCTTTGCGGCACTATTACAACAATTTTATTTTCCAAATAAAATATTTTGTTTATAAAATGTCAGGAAATAGTGAACAAAGATGATGTTTTCAAATTGCGTATGTTCAGTTTACAATGATATTAAAAGGATAAAAAGAAAAATACAGCATACTGCAGAAGCTGTTACCAACACTGACTGGACTTAATCCTAATAGATTATCAGAATAGTTGCTGGTTTATTTTATTACTAATCATCAACTAATAAACTAAGTAGCTTACAATTACTTGAGTAACCCTCAGACCATGCTATTCTCTGTTAAACACTGAATCTGTTTTACACTCACGTCCAGGTCTGTGTAACCTCAACCTGTTTTTGTGTTTTTTGAAATTCAGCTCAAATTAAGTGATGCTGCACTGAAAATAGAAGTCAACTTGGAAGCTGTGGATCTTCCGTCATCTCCAGATGCTCACGCGTTTAAATGTTTGCAGGAGCACATCACTAAATTACAGGTAAAGTGGTCACACACACTACAACTTCTACATTTTAACACTGGTTAAATTACATTATTTTAGCATCTTAAGGCTAAAAGGATTTGAATTCATGAATTATTCCTTTAAACAAAAGATTATTTGTTCTTACATGCAATATTCTTTCTTCCCCATCTGTTTATACAGGCTGTTTCAGAAAGCTTAAGTACACTGGTGGATGCTGATGATGATACGTCATCGGCACAAAACAACACATCAGATGATGCTGTCACCTCATCGCCACTCCAAGAGCAGACGTCTGAGCGCCATCCTCTCAGCTCAGAGGATGCAGAAAGCAAGACGGCGGCTGATGACGTCATGGTTCAGATCAGAGCCAGGAAGTCAGAGGTTGGTCTCACTCAGCAGATCTGTCAGCTGTTTTCTGGCAGTGACATTTTTAGAGCGCTCTTTACTCTCTGTCAAGCAAATGAATAATCATAAGTAATTGCTCCCAAGGATGTGCACATGACGTGCCGCAGTGAAGCAAATGCTTGATGATGATCTGATAAGCCAAGTTCAGCAGAGAAGAAGGGGTTCTTTAGTGCTGTGGTCGGGTAGAACAGACCACATTGCTGGAGGGCTTTGAGAGAGGGCCAGGTCCTTGATGGATTATGAAGTGGATGCTCATTACTCTGAGATTGCATGTGGATGAAGGACAAGAGGCCCCATTCTGTTGTGCATTTATTTTGGTAGCCAAGCAAACAGTATTCATATTCCATCATGTGATGATGGCAAGCAATTCAACTTTTTTGGCTACCTGAAATAATTTGTTACTGAATTTCTCATTCCATGTAATGTAAATTGCTGCACCCTGTTAGCCCCCGATCATTAGACTTGCGTAGGTAAAAAAGAGTCTCATTGCATTCTTGACATCTATCAATAGCTCATCAATCCATCGTATCTTATTATCTGTGTTGTCTCTCCACTGTGACCCCAGATTGAGCGAAGAATATCTGCATTTATGGAACGCAAGCAGATGGAGATCAATGAAAACAATGTACGCGAGTTTTGCAACGTGATCGACTGCAATCAGGGTGAGAATGGGAAAGAGGTTGGGGGCAGGGTGGAGAGGGAGCCTGCACACAGATTGCCAATGTTTGGGAGAGAGCTGATTTCCACAGGCGAGAGGTCAGGCTGAACTGCTCCAAGAGTGGGGCTGAAGTAGCTAACCCACTCGGCCTCAAAACACAACCAGCTTAGTCCAGAAAAACATGAGACAGAGGGCCTTTTTTTAATTCAAAGTCTGTGTGAGACACCAGTTATAGAAATCAGGACATGCTCATACTTGTAATTTAAGTGATATATATATATATATATATATATATATATATATATATATATATTTACAGAAAAATCACTTTTACGTTACATTTTAAATACATTTTTAATAAGAATTTCTCTTCTGTAGAAAATAGCTGTGCCAGAACAGATGCAGTTTTCACTCCATATCCAGGTTTTAAAAGCCATGTGAAAGGTAAGAAAATAAATATTTGCCACAAATGTCAATGTGACATTTCTTAACTGCGTTATTTTGTGAACTGTAGCCATGATTTTTGATCGTCATCATTTTGAGAAAGTCATGGGCTTGACATAACAAGAAATGTTAATCAATACGTTTTGGTTTGATTAATACAATTAGATTCAAATGTCATTCTACGGTACATGTATCACGTCAGAAATCTGTTTTTCACATCAGCTTGCTGCCAAAAGTCTTAAAAATAAGTGCTGTACAAATTAAGGCACCAACAGATCTTTCATTGTAAATTAATTTAAATTGCCTAACAAATGTCAAGAGTCTTGTAGGACCCCTCTGAGTCTTAAGCATGTACAAAGTATCTTCATGCCTGGTACATGCCTATGACTCTGTGAAACCATACTGTTAACTAACCTCTGCTTAATACTGGGTTATGGCTTATGTTTATGTGTTATGTTGTTGGACTGGCTAGTTACGCGGGTGGTAAACAATTACGGGCCCCAGACTCGTGGTGGGGGAGGTCAAGGAGAGGCTGGGGAGCCGCAGAGGGGGCTGATGGCAAGAGACTGCGGAAATGCAGCCATAGAAGAACGACTTCACAACATCGAGACACACCTGAAGCTCCCAACAGGTTAGTGAACGTGTTAATTTTCAACTACACTGAATAGAATAGATAGAATTTTCCATTACAGTGTGTAGTAAATGTAACTCATTGAAATTGCAGTCCATGTGCAAACTATAATTAATCTAAGATAAATTTAAAAAAATCAAGGTCAGTGTTTAGAAATCGCGGCCTCACGCACCTCACGCAGTTGCTGCTGTACCATTTGTGATTACATTTGGTTATAAAAACTTCAAACAGGACGGCACCAACAAAAGGAGCGCTGACTGCAAAGTCTGCAGTACCCAAATCAAGGATGCTGGATCCACCACATCAAATTTTATCAGGCACCTGAAAACTCACCCGGATAGGTCAGTCACATTAGCGCATATGGACAGTTAGCTCAGCATCAGCTATGTAACGTTCACTTACTTACTTTTATTTTTTAGAGACTTGAGACTTGACTTGGACTCGTGACCAAAGACTTGTGAACATCTCTGCCTTACTCACAATCTCCTCCCAATAAAATCACAAGACTGTTCAACAAGTGTTTTATTCCTTAGCGGGTCCAGTTCCATTGAGTGTCTACCAGAGACTAAAGAAGCTGGAGGATCGTATCCTGGAGTTGGAGGGACTCTCCCCCGAGTACTTTCAGTCCACGGTGAGTCTTGTGGCTTTGAAATAGATACACGGAAGGTACTTAGTAATTAGTCTGCGTTCAGTCTGCTGTCATAACCAGTCTTACAGTAACGGATGTAATTTCAACATTTGTATTTTTATAATAAAAGCCATAGGTATATACTTCCTTTACCACAGGCTCTTATGATTTTGGCAGCCCAGACTTATGACACTTTTATAATGATGGCAAACTTGTTCAATGAAAGTGTTCCTGTTGGTATTTGTGTGTTACAAAGAGTGAGACTCTACACTGTTCAAAAATCTTTAGACGTAGTTGGTCTGACAAAAGCGCGTCATAGTGAAGTGACAAAATAGGTAATCATTGATTCTTGCCTTTTGGGGTTTTAGAGGTATATTTTCCCAGTCAATCACACAGTTATAGTGCTTTAACATGAATTATTGTCTTTAATATAGCGTGTATTGCAGACCTGACTCTACAGCTCTGTCATACAACCATTATGAGCAGCAAAATATCATCCTATCATAGTGGCAGTTACTGTATGATTCCCACCTCTTCTTCTTCTTCTTCTTCTTCTTCTTCTTCTTCTTATTATTATTATTATTATCAGTTTTAGCCAGTTGTGTGTTGTTTTACTCACCCAAATGCATTTTATATATATTTTTTCCTTTCATATAACCCGCATTTCCTTCCTCATAAAACAACTTTTAAAAGCCAATTATTTTGAAAATAGTGAAACCTGCATTGTTAGCATCCATGTTTACTTGCTTGCGTTTCTCTTGTTCCCTTCCTTTGCAAACCAAACATGGACCCACTCCTAAAAATATTGTTCCACAGCGCTAGTAATTGTTAAAAAAAACCTCCACAGGGGTACCTTTTAGTTCCTGCTATTGGCAACTTCTCTCTTGTCTTGTGGATGTGTGGACAACCATGTGCCGCCCACACATTTGACCTTACAGGGTGGAGTTTAACCAAAGGAAACTCCTCCCAAAAGGGCATAGACCAAGGTGAATAACCATGAGACATAAAGTAATGATATAAGATTGTATTTCAAGAAGTATTTCAGACAATGATTCACATCCTGTTGTTGAGAAGGCAAGATTTTTAGTCCATTTCACACGCTTTCTGTCAGTTAGTGCATTTAATGTGTATGATGCCTAAATTGGCATGTAGAATATTGGTTTGTTGTAGGCAAAATCATTTCAAAATGAAATCGACTCACTGAGAGGAGTTTATGCGTGATGCTAATGGAGTTTCCCCTGATATGACCGGATACTTCAACACATTCTCCTCCTCGAGCTACACTTGGGTTGATTTCAGTCAAACATGAAAACGCGCTTGGTTAGATTTACTTAAACTTTTAGGTCGATGCAGAAAGCTCACTTGAGAAATGACAACTTTTCACTACACCATGCTTTATAAAGAAGTGCAGACTCAAAAGATGGCAGTAAGTAATTTATTGGACTTTATATTCAACCCAAGTCCCGCAGACTCTAATTTCCTATCTTGAAGGAGTCTGTCCAGCGAATGTTTAGTTGTCTGAGTAAGTGTGCTTAAGATGCTACATGTCTCTTCACACTGGTATTTCTCAGCACCGCATGCTGCTTCTGTGAGTATACTGCTCTCCATCTGCTTTTGACTCATTGCATGTTTGTGTGAGCAGAGCAAGAGATGTCGAGTGTCTTTGAATAAACTGATGGGGTCTTTTATATTCGGAGTACCACTTTTTTTTTTTCTTGCAATTTCTGAAAATACTGTAGTTTGGTGTTTTCTGAAGAGCTGTACACAGTTGGCCCACGGTTTCAGAAACAACATTTTAACATTGAACAGCAAAGGAGGCTCCTTAACGAATTATGCAGCATCTTCGACATAAACAATCCCACAAGGTTTTACAGTTACAGAGTCAAAGACGTGGATCAAAAACACAAATCTCCGAGCTGTCTTACACATATGCTATTTAACCGTGACTTCCCCCGTTCAAATTTTACTTCGTTTACTGTCTCTAACTATTGTCAAAACATCCAATAAAGGTGAAATACCATTAAAAATAACCTTAGAATTAAACAGACTGTTGCAGTTATCTGCTGTTCTTTGCTTGTAAAACTTCACCTCTTTGTATTTCATTAAGTGGATATTAGAAAACAAAAAAAAATTTGGTTTTGCAAAATGTCTTTCTGTTGTATTGTCTGTGAATAAATTATTTTTTCAGTTCTTGAGGTGAAGTAAAAAATGAAACCGACAAAGTACCTCAGTATGCTTTTCCAAGATCGACTCAGTTTAGAAGTTGTACTTATTAAAAAGGTCTGATGTTTACTCTTTTTGTAGAGTCACCTACACAAGCGACCAAAGACGTCCCCTGCTCAGGTTAGTAGTTTTTTTTTGTTTCCTTTCACTGCACTTTGTTGGTGGAGTTTAGCCTCTTTTTGATCTGTTGATCAGTTTTTTTTCTTACTTCGTCCTCCAGGCTTGCAGTCTGACCGAGCTGGATGAGAAGATCAGTGCAGTGAAAGCGGCACTGCTGAAGAGGGTTAATGAATTCGGGCCTGGATATGGACCAGAGTGCCCGCTGTAGCACACCCACAATCCAGTGCTCCCAACTCACAGTCCCTTCAACATGAATCATCCGTTCATTTTTGTATTCCTTACTTTTTCATTTGCACCATTGTCACAATACTGTATGTGATTAAAAACAAACATTTCATGTGAGATTAAGTTTATTGCCATTAAAGACATAAAACTGTACAATAGTTTTGTAGTTAACTGAGATATAATTGATCTGTAAATAAAGGTATTTTTTCCTTCATGAAAAGTTGGATTCATGAGCTTAACATGTCAGCTATTAACTGTAACATGCAACCTGATTCCAATCAGCCGTTCCTGCACACTAATGATTATTTTCAATTAATATAAAAATGTTTCTCACTCGATTAATCTTTGGTCCACAAAATTGTTACACTTGAAAATCTGTAATCAGCGAATTTAACTAAGACGATGAATGAATGATCAATTGTTGCTGATTAATTTTCTGACAATCGATGAATTGTTTCAGCTCTAATACATAAAACCGTCTGAACAACACCTTCAAACAGAATATGAGATAAAATGGATTTATCATGGATGTTTACCATCCTTAATGTCTAATGCCAGGAAGGTGTGTGTTCATGTCTGTGTGTGTAATTGAGATGAATCTGTGAGAGCACCTGATTTATCTGCCTGACTGCTGTGTGACGATGATCACCCCTAATGGTTGTCATTATAACAAATGACCTGATTACTGCAACTCTGTTTGGAAAACATATTGGAGACCCAACAAACCAGCATTAAATGGGCCGCCGCTGTGTTTGACACTGTGACTTGTTTATAAAAGGCTTTCGCATAGAGCTTTAACTGAGCAAGCGGCTGAAGTCATACTTCAGATTTGTATTTTTCTGTTATGAGAAAACCTCTGGGTCCCGTCATTCATACATAGATAACTGAGTTATCTGTGTATGAGTTGAGAGGTGTCTGGATTTTGATTTAAAATTAATCTTTAACTGTATGAGCAGAGCAACAAATCCTTTAGTCCAAACCTGCATACGTGCAGCTTATTGAGCATGACCATGATGTTTTATGGTGAATCCTAAACATAAACTCTTTTCCAATGCAAAGTTCTCACTGTCTTCGATTTATAATTAAAGAATGTTGATATAAATATGATTTTAGATGAGAACGTGCAGGTTTTTGATAAATCATTATGATCTATTGGTGTAATTATCACAACTAAATTGTCATGACGCAGTACCTATACATATAAAGTATACAATGAAAAATAGTTTGAGCAATAAACTCAACTTAAATAATCATCATATTTTATTTGACAACAGAATAAAATGCAGTGTGTAACATTTAGGAGGATCCACTGGCAAGAGTTAAATATAATGTTAATATAAGATATGTTTTTATTAGTGTATAATCACTTGAATATAAGAATTGTGTTTCCATTACCTTATAATGAGCTGTTTTATCTACAGAGGGAGCAGTCGACTTCCACGGAGTCTGCCATGTTGAACCGCCATGTTTCTACAGTAGCCCAGAACAGAAAAACCAGAACAGCTTCATTTTCATAGCAACCTTATGATTATTACCTAAAAGTGAGAACCTCCACCTGTCATGCACCCAGTATCACTCGCAGTCCGACCACATTCATGCTAATATCTAATGTTAACGGTGATGAAAAGGGTGGAAACATTGTTGAGCACAAGTGAAGGGTTCCCAACACTTCAATCACATGATCGGCACTTACCCAATCACATGAATGCCCATCATTGTTTCAAATCTCTACTAATTTACAGTAGTACACACACTTATTCAAGATGACTTCATCCAGGATTAAAAGATGAATCTTTAAACTGCGTTCAAGGAACCAAATTAGCTGAATAAGAATAAAAAGGATTATTTTAGCCTGATAATAGTTTGTTAGCCTTGAGCTAGTCCCATTCAAAAAGATAACAAATAAAACAAAAAGCATTTTTACTGCTGGTTAAGATGGAGCTAGTTTTAACTTAATATATACAGTTTGGTTATTTAGTCCAGTGGTTGCCAACCTGGGCATCTGGCCCAGTTCCACTGCACAATCTGCTCCAATCTTTGCCCTTTATGGTGAACTGTTGTGTAATTTTACCTCTGTGGGCCTCATACTATGAGCTGTTGAAATTAAACCATGTCCCTTTAATGGAACTGATAACAGCGCCTAGACACCTGACCTGTGACAAGAAGCCCCATGGACATGCTGCTTTTTAGTCACAGACCAAAAACGTTAGAAACCACTGGTTTAATTTTAATAATGCATTTTATTTCATTAGCTTATATATTGTTTCTCATGTGAGATCTTACCCACAGAACATAAAATGGATCACAACTGTTTTAAACTCAAGTTGATGAACATTTTAAAGAGGGAATAGTGTTGTAGTCGTGAATGATCTTGTGCTTAGTTTTATGATAATTTGATTTGATCATTGTTTGGAATTGTGCTGTTCTGTGTGTGTGTGTTTTATTATTATTATTATATTATATTATTGTTTTGTGTATTTTAAAGGCTTTTCAGTGAGTGGGATAGAAAATTAGCTTGGGGTATTTATACCAATAAACACTAAATAAGTAATAAAAACAAATATTAATTAAAGTAACTACTAACTATAGCTGTCAAATAAATTTAATGGAGTAAAAAGTGCAATATTTACCTATACATCCTGAAATGTATCTGTGTTTGTGTGTGAATCTATATATTTATTTATTTATTTATGTATATATTAATATATATATGTACATATGTCTTTACCAAGGCTGTCTGTTTAAAAGAGAGGAAACTAACTTCCTCATGTCCACCTTTTTTTTAAAAATGAAACTCATATAGCCTTAAATTGCAAATAGAAGAGGTGCTTTGAAATAGGTACCATGACCAGTTCATGGTTGACTGAAAACACAGATGCAGACTCATTTATTTAAAGCCATTGGAAGTTTTAAGATAGAACTTTTCTTGTGCTTCTTCTCATCAACAAAAAGGCTACAATAAACAGAATTTTAAAATTAATTTCGTAACAGGTGTGACGAACAGAAACAGAGAAAAAAACAACTTTCTCACGTCTTTGGAAATTACTGTAACTCCCCTTCCTTTTCTTTGCAGTTGCTCTTTGTATGTCATGTCAAGATTTATTTCAGAGTTGATTGATGGAGTGACCTGAATACAATAGAAGACGTTGCATTGTGTTTTTTTGGAAGATATTTCATTCTTAACGCGGAAATGGGGATTTTCTTTTTCACCCCCTCTTTCAGGTGTACCTCGCTTGTTTGGCTCTGTCCGTCTCTTGCTCATAGACTGGAACCTTCTGGGCAACAAGGGGCCACAATGTGCTGGGAAGGGGAGCACTTGAGCTGCTGCGATGTGGATGGACGTGGAGGGGAGGGGTGGGGGTTGCTCATTGTTCCCCAGGAGCTTTTGTCTCAGACACAGTCCCCTTATGAGGGTTAATGAGGACAAATTGGTCTGAGTGTAACAAATGGATTATAGAGTTGGACAAAAGGTTGTATTTTGTGGGCTGCGTTTGCTGGGATCCACCCATCATCTGCCCATTGAGCCGAGCACGCTGACTAGCGTCTGCATGAAGTGGCTCACTAAATATCTCATTATCTTTATCCTGTCTGTTTTATCACATGAGCACATTATGCATGCAGCTTCCTACAGTGAATTTAACTAAAATGTAAAGTTTATTTCACAATAACACAGTTTGTAATCAGTGTAATCACCTGGCTTATTTCCTACAGCTTACGTAAAGCATATAAAGTCAATATGTCAACATTAGTGTCATTGGTTAGAGCTCTAAGGTTGGGTGGGCATAGTGTACCCTTTCAAATTAACAAAGAGCCACTTCCTCATTGACTCTATGTAATTCCTGCCTGTCAATCAGTCCTCCCTCTGTCTGATTTCTTGTTATGTTCTTGGGAACCTCGGTAAAAAGACACAGAGGTGTTCCTTGTCTTCTATGGGTCCAGTTGTATTTTTTGGTGGGGTCGAAGGAGAGGATTCATATCCATTCATATCTCACAAACTCTTAATGGGCTCCAAGCCCTCCAAAAAGAAAGCTCTTTCCTGTGACTAGTCAGCTCCAGTCTTTATTCATCTGTGGCTCCGTGTCAAAAAAGACTGTTGCTCGTTTGTGCCCCGAACAATGAGGAACAAGGCTAAATCTCTAGCTGGGAACAAAAGACAGAAAACAGGCTTTTCACTCTGCAGAACATTAGATTCTGACACATTTTGCCATGGCAGTTTTTTCCTCATCCTGAGTGCTGTGGCTCTGGTCTTTTAAAGAGACCACCTGTTGGCAACAAGCCTGTTCTTCATTACAGACAGCCCTATTATCACAGGATGAGGAGCACCACAGGCTAACTTTTTTAAGTTAACCCTGCTGCAGTTTCCAAAGCTGGCCGATTGGGAAACATAAATTACGTATTACCACTGGAAAATCTATTTCTGCTCGTAATTTTGTATCTTGTTTTTGAATAAGGGCTTTTGTCGGCGTAAGAGGGAAGTACTTCATTCATGCCCTTGTCAGCTACAAATGTCACAAACAAAGGGACTCGAATGTAGGCAGCTTGAATGTTCTATAACTACAGATTCGGGGCCAAATTAATATGCATTGTTTGGAGGAAACCCAAATGGACTTACTGTAAAGTTGTTGATGTTTTCTATTCCATTATTTCTGGCATCTGGACGGTTTCTGTTCTTCTTTTGAAAACAGATTTAAGCAATTTTCAACCCCCAAAACATTAGCATAACTACAGAATGATAATGATTTTCACAACTGTGTGTAAAATAAAAGTACTGTAGGTGGCAATACGAAGCAATCAAGTGCATACTTTGGCTTTGAATTGGACATGATAAACACAGGCTGACGGGAGTGTTTGCTTTATTTTTTTTGTGCGATTGTGTGGAGATTTAAAACCTAATGTTAAATAATTTATAGATTTCATTGCTCTGAAAACCCACAGATACACCACCGAAATTTTAAAAAGATTTTTCATGAATAACCTTTGTTTGGGATTTCGTTGTTATAAGCGCAAAATGTGCACGTACTGTAGAGCTTTTTGGAACAAGTGGCCTCAGGACAGCTAGGGGGCAAAGTTTAATTCCCCATAAGGCAATATTAAAACAGCAAATACCTCTGTCGTGCTCATGCCATCACTGTCGGAGTACGCCTGATGCAGTCGCACTTGTTTCATGTTCACAAACATCCAGCGGAGAGGGTGGGGTGGGGGTGCATGCACCTGTGACCC